GAACTCTGTTTTTCATGAGTGCGCTAAACACATTGACGTTAGGCTACATTTTATTAGAGATATAGTATCTCAAGAAGTGGTAAGACTTGAAAAGGTCCACACACAATACAACCTTTCAGATATGAGCACGAAAGTGCTATCACTAGTAAAGTTTAGAAGTTGCAAGAATCTTCTAAACATTGGTACAGGTAAATGATTTCCAATTTTATTGGTTTTCTATTAGAGGTGTCACTAACGGGAAACATTTTCTTTTTATAGGTCTTTTGACACTAAGGTAGAGGTTGTTAGGCAATTTGTTGTCAAACGACCTTCAGACAACGATGTAACCTCAATTTTATTTAATTTCATTTGGCCTTGACAATATGACTAAACCATATGTCGATACCACCATCGAGACGACCCAACCCAATTTTCTACGGACCATTTGAAGCAACCTATTTTAATAGTGTTGCTCGTGGCCCGTCCTGTTTACTTGGATGGCTACGATATCCATTTGGAGCTCTATATCATTGTGTTGGGCCTTTTGGGCCACTAAGGTTAACCTACCCTAACTTACCTTAGTTGGTCATTCTCTTGGGCTATAATTCTCAGTCCCTTTGTGCCTCCAATATTTCGTCTTCTTTGCCTCTCTCTGTGATTCGGTCTCTGCTCATTCTCGGCCTCTTTCTCTCTTGCAACCTGTGTGGTTTCTCTTGAGTGATATTGCTCTAACTTTGGCCACCTCTTTGTGGGTATGAATAACAACAGTAGGTGGGACGAAGAAAAAAGAAAGTTGGGTGTGTCTCAATAGTGGTGGTGTCGATTTGGTTGGAAACTTAACCCGATATCAACTTGGTATTGTTGGATTTTGGCTTGACAATTTCATAAAACTGGAAGATTTACTCTCATGATTTAAAGTTTGTCATGATTTGTTCATTGTTTTGTTCACTTTGACATATTCATCCATGACTACTCAAACATTTATCTCTATTTGAACATAAGTTGCAATGTCACAGAGTAAAACTAATTTATTAATTTGGTAGGTACTTAAAGAGTTTTGAAAATGGATGTGGCCTCAATGCCAAAACCGTAGCTCTGTGTGTTCATTATATACACTTGAGTGGATATTTTTTACATGAATTTGAATCTACAAAATACAAAAATAGTGGAATGATAAGAAGATAAGTCTGTATATCAAACTAAACTTGGTCCCTATTTGGTAACAATTCTTTCATAACTCTTTTTTTCATATATATTCATTTTCAATTACACATTCTCATATTAAAATATTTTTCATATAAATCCAAAAAAAAAAATTAAAAATTCTACTTTTTACTACACTTTCTTAAAAAATTTATTATTCAAAAACTTAATCTTTCCAAACAAAATGACTATCAAACAGGGTCTCAAGTATTATTAGATAAGGTCGATGCTGAAGAATTTAAACATCTGGAGTTAGAGATCTTCTTGGATGATTCTGAAATCTGTGAAATATTGTTATAGACCAAAACATAGAAATTTGGGTTACCCCTCTTAACAAGATTGATTTTTTAAGATGAAACCATGAGCCATAACATAGTATTGGAGCCGATTAAACTCCAATGAATAATTTGATTTGATTAAGACTAAAATAAATGAGTACACAAATTTCAAAATGTGGAAATTACACCCTTCCTATGTTCAAAATCCCAACTTCACAAATCAAGCCCAATGTTTGTTTATTCAAAAATCAGATGTTTTTAATAAATTAAAGCACATAATTTCAAGCACAGACTCTAATTTATATCTTTCCATTATTTTCTCTCTCTAAACCGTCTCTTACCATCCCTCTCTTCTCTCTTTTCTCACCGTCATTCTCTTCTCTCCTTCATCTTTGCCGGCAGCGCAGCTCGCACCACTGTCGCGAGATGCAGTGTAGATCACGACGACGTGGCATGGTGAATATGGGGACACCTTGTGCAGATCAATACGATTCCTCTCTTCTCTCCATCTCTGTCGTCGGCGCAGCTCGCACCACTGTCACGAAATAGGGGTGGGTGTGTGTGCGACGGAGGTGGCGTGAGGCTATGATAGTGTGTGCGACGGCAATGGCATGGTAGTGGTGCACTGCAGATTCCCCTTTCGTTGTAGCGTTGTGGATTTTGTATGGTGGTGCTGCGCTGCGATAGTTGCAACGTCATAGATTTCATGCAGTAGTAGTGCGCTATAGATCCCCAGATCTGTGGTGATCGTGGATTTTGCGTGGTGGCAACGACAGTGTCTGTATGGTGGCGGTGTTGCGGTGGGTGCTAATCTGGCGGTGGGAGTTCGTTGGCAATATTCAAAGGGTGGCAGTGGTTTGTTTGAAGTGTTGAGGTGGGTTGTTTCAGGTGCTGTGGTAGCGGATCTCGAAGGATCTAATGTTTGTGTGGACCGCGACTGTGACTCCCAATTGTAGTGTTGGTGTTGGTGACTGTGACTGACTCCCAATTGTGAATTTTGACTTACAATTGGATACGTAACCTAAAAATTGTGGCTGTGACTCCCAATTGTGATTCACGATTGATTAAATTGTGATCGAAAAATTAATCGTGACCAAATAATCCAATAATTTGCAACGAGTAAATGAGTTGTGACCAATAAAGTTTTGAACATGTGACTGATAAATAATCTGTAGCCTATAAAATTTTTGGATTCATGATCGAAAAATATTCTGTTACCTATAAAATTTTCTATTTGTGAACGAGAAATAAGTTGTGGTCAATAATTTGATAAGTTGTGACTAAAAACTAATCTATGTCCAAAAACTATGAACTAATTATATTAAATTAATAAAATATATGCTTAATAAATTAATTTACAAATAAAATTTTAAAAAATCTAATTTTTGAAATTTTAAACCTTTGTTCTTAATTTTGAAAGGGGTATACTTACTTTCTTAGAAATAAATTTTTCCCTTTCAAAATTGATCTGTTCAAGCGAACAATCATCTTGCAATGGTATGTTAAGGAATAAAACTTCACATGGAATAAAAATAAAAATATAGACCAATTTATAAGATTTTGAGCTATTATTCTTAATAAGATTAACCTTTTGAGATGGGATCTCAAGTTTTAATAGCTATCTAGAAAAAATAGGCTAATTGCCTAGCAATGAGAGGAGGGAAATGGCTCAAACTTTGCTGATGCTCGCAAGATTAAAGTTGGCTTCCCTGTCTCAACTAAATTAACTATATAACATGAGTAAACTCAAGTGAGGTCATAATTTCCTTACGATTGAGATATTAAAATCTCCATTGTTAGGACCCCTTTTTTTTTTTTTTTTTTTTTTTTCCCCTTTAAAACAAAACTTTTTTTTTTTTTTTTTTTATAAATTTTGATTTTTGTTGGTGAAATCTTTTAAGTGGATAATAAATCCGGCCCCTTTTTTTTTTTTTTTTTTTTTTCCCCCTTCTTTGGGTAGCCAGTGTATCTTATATGTACTACAGTTTAGTCCAAATATCCAATGGTGCAAAGCCATCCACTTATTGGGAAAAACGAAAGAGGATCACTTTGATCTCTTGTTTAAGAGAAAAGGCCGAAGGAATGGAAGAAAATATGTCATCATATTTCAAGGCTCTAAGCATCAGCATGAAGCGCATAGTTTGGGGGGATCAACTATTTGCCTTTTTGATAGGACTTTGGAGCATGAGATTCAATATTTTGCAAAATCAAAAGGCATGCAGCTGCTTCAAAGCCAACACGATGTTCCTTGAACACATGAATAAGATATTGTTGAATACCATATATGATTGATAAAAGAGTGTTATGTAATCTCATGAAAGCTAGTTGCTAACAAAAAGGCAGCCACTCAGCCATACTTCCAAACTATTGATTGGAATGGAATTTGATTTTCTGGGTTTGGTAGATTATTTCACTTACTCTAGCTAAGATTAAGTAGATTTTGGGGATGCATCCAGGGACATTGGTTTGGAATTGAATAAAAACATGGAATTTGAACAAGGGAGGTGCTATACGTCTAGGACCACATGGGCCCTGGACATGGCGTCCCTACACCTATAGGGGGTGCCTATCCAGAGCCTATGTGGCCCTCGACAAGTATCTTTACCCATTTGAACAAGGCCCTAGAATAGGCACCACCATGTAAGATTTAGTTGATTGTAATAAATTTATTTAGTTTATGTAAAACTAAAATATATATAATTTAAACTAATGGTTCTATCAAGTGTTACGAAATTTAAAGATTAAGAATTTAGTTGTCAAAAAGGGTCAAAATGATTACGTGTTTTTGAAGACTAAAATGAAATAAATAAATAGAATCTCTATAGTTTAAACTTTTAAATGAGATGGTCCAACATCGTGTTAGAGCGTCCAAAACATTGAGTTTGATTTTCATTGTTATCAATTTGCGAAATTGAGCATTTTGGGCTTCTAATGATAAAACTGAATCTGAATGGGGGTTTGAACTCTAAATTTAGCCCATGTTTAGTCAGAATTAAAATTAGATTTCTAGTAGATTTGATTAAATATGTGATCGAAAAGTCGTGAGCCTCATAAAATGAGTAATTAATATTAGTTGTTAACTTTTACTTAAATTAAAATTTTATTTTTAGTTTCTATCAAATATGAGCTTAATAAATAAATGTGATATCTTAAAGTTTAAGTTTTTAAGAACTATTTCTAACACTGATGCATGTCACGGTTATCAACTCGTCCAATTGTGAACCACTAACCCTAATGAGACCACATTAAGCATAATCAAGCCAAAATTTGCACATTCAAATTAAATTTTCCCAAAGGAATATTGTTTCACCAGTCTAGATGACAGCACTAACGACATTAAATTATAGGCCCTTAAGATTAAAATGTCGTTTTCACCCCCCACCTCCCACCCCCTACTTGATACATGTGATATCGAGTCCTACAAATTTTGCATGAATAATGAAAGATGCTGCAAAAGTCAACCCCAATGAGCCCACCTGCTAAATTTTATCCATCAGATGGTATTGGAAACCTCAATTTACACAACCCAATGTTCAAAATCACCCTGGCCTTCTCTATATAAACCCAATGATCCCCCAACCCTCTTCATCAATACAATATCCTTCAAAATTTGAAGACTCCCAATATACTCAACACCAAATACAAGAAATGAAGAGTGCTGTCTTCTCCATGGTCTTTGTCCTCTCCCTTCTCTACTGCTTTGCTCATTTCAGCAATGCAGCCATCCCATGTGGCACAGTCGACATGAAGGCAGCTGCCTGTATCTCGTTCGCCACTGGGAAGGCTGCAAAGCCGTCTGCTGCATGCTGCAGTGGCCTGCAACAGCTCGCACAGAGCGTGAAATCTGTCAATGACAAGAAGGTCATTTGCCGGTGCCTCAAGGCCGGCGTCAAGAACTTTGCCGGAGTTCAGGAAAAGTTCTTGAGCCAGATCCCCAATGCTTGCAAGATCAAAGTTGGTTTCCCTGTTTCCATGCACACCAACTGTGAAACGTAGGTGCCAGCACCATCTGATCGAATTTCCTGTTTATGTATCCTACTAATTTGTATATGAAAAGGTCTAAAATCGATACTCAATTTGCAGGATCCACTGAGGTGCACGCTTCGGAGATGATCGAAGATTGCGGTGATGTTGAGAATGCAATAGCTGTTGAATAAGACGCACTGTTTTGTGCAAATCTTCACTGTTATATTGTACACTATGGACTTAACTTCCTATTTAGAATCAAGCGAAATTTCATCTATTGCACATGCTACAGTATTTCATTACCTTTCTAGTTGGCTCTGGTAATCCTTAAGATTCATTAGCCAATGACATGATGCGCGATAAGTGAAGTTCTGCCCTCACAGGGCGAAGAACAAAAGGAAAAGACACAAGAGCCATACCTTCTTTCGTTCAATTACTTCCAGAGTAGTCACTTAACCAAAATAAGTGGATTCGACTATTTTCTCATGTATTATCATAGTTATTTTCTTACAAGAACGTGCCATGATAAAAAAATATATATATATAACCCAGAACAATGACATGAAAATTCTCAGAAAAAAATGAGGACACTTCAAGATGATCGGCAGATCTTCTTTTAAAGAATTCCCGGCAAGAGATGATCCTTTATAGAAAGATACAGATCTTCACAAGATATTGATTTACACTGATGTGTTCAAAATATAGATAAAATCACCACGGAATTTCTTGACCATCCCAGGCAAAAAACTTGCCATTGTCTGATCCCTTAGCATTGTTAATGATGCTTAACAGCTTCTGGACGGAAAACTCTTTGGTGAAGAGCTTGCCTTCTGGAACATTTCCCTGAAATGGTCTAGATAAATCAGTATCTACCGTGCCCGGATGCAATAAAATGCATATAATTGGATCTTTCTTGCGTGCAAATTCCACAGAGATAGTCTTGGTCACTGCAAGCATTGAAGCATCGATAGAATTTGGTTAAGATTCAGAAGCCGACGCTACTTTTAGCATTGAAACATTACTAAGAGGACCAACATAATCTCTATTTCTTTTCAGATTCGAGCCAAGAGGATTATACATTTAAAATGAACTATAAAGAAACCCACTTACATTTCATTTAGTTTCCTAACTAAAAAAAAAAATTATCTTGTTACTTTCTAGTTTGAGATTTAAGACGCATAAGACACAAAATCAGAGAAGTTAGAGTGTGTTTGATTGACATAGAAAATATCACATAGAAAAAAAATATTTTCCATCTTTTGTGGAAAATAAAAACCACCTCTATTCAAGGAAAAAGTTTTCCTTAAAAACAAAGAAAATTAGGCATATTTTCAAAAGTTGGAAAATATTTTCCATGGAAATAAATAGCAATCAAACACTTCAAGTAGAAATTTGGGTGGAAAACGGATATTTTCCATGGAAAATAAATGTAATCAAACACACCCTTATAGTTTGAGAAAGAAAATGCCAAATCCAAACGAGGGTCCCAGAAAATAGCAAAGATTCATACGCTGATTAAGTGCAGTCTTAGATGCCCTATATGAGTGCCATCCTCCAAGACGATTATCTCCAATTGATCCAACCCTGGCACTGATGTTGGCAACGATAGCAAAATCTCTATTCATCCCAGAGCCACCTTCAACCTTGAGCAAGGGCCACATGTGCTGTTCATACGAATCATAAACAGTAGAATTAGTTACATAAATAAGTTTCTGAATCAATGCAAGAATATAAGGATCGAAACCATTTTTCTTCAAGAATGAGAACAGAGGAACTTTGTCTCGAGAAATTGCAATACAATTCTTGGTAAGAAATCAAACTATAATATGCGTCTATGCTATATACTAATGAAATAAATACAAGTAACTGAAGATATATTCAATTTCTGAGTTGGAAATATGATTTCTGCCGAAGATCATTTGTATCTGAAACAATGTACCTTTAAAACTAAAATAATTGCTTAGAGCATTTTAGAGCTCAATTTTTGGCTAAAAATGTATTTTCGAATAGTAGATTAAAGGAGAATAACAGGGATCTAACAGGGACTTAATAAGACAATGCACCCAAACCTAAACCTAATTTATCATATCTTTCTTAAAAAAATCAAAAATAAAAAATAAAAAATACAGAGAGAGAGAGAGAGACCTTGACAACCAAAACAGGACCAACAGCATTGATCTCATAAGCAAGAAGCAAGGATGCTCTCTCTACTTTGCTCAACGTTGTTTCTGTACTGGAAGTGAAGAAAATCATTTTACCAAGTCTAGAATGGAAACCAGTAAGCTAACTATAATAACACGTTAAAAATCAGTCCAATTTCATAAGGAACAAAGTTAAAATCTGATTCTGCTTTATGCCTTTTAGATCATTTTTATGCTTTCACTGAAATGCAAAAAATCCAAAATGAGAAATCAATAAACAATATCTACCTGGCTTCAGAACATCTGGTATTGAAAGAATGCCAGATGCATTAACAAGAAGATTCAGATAACCATATTTCTCTCTCAAACACTTCGCTGTTTCCTGAAATTTGACGTATACAAAGTATGAAATGTAAAGCATTCATGATAAAAACAAGCCCGAGAGGTCCGCTGAGTGTATATAAAACTTAACAGTGGACAGCAATGGGTTTGGCTAAGCTTAAAAAGTGCTCTTAACGTGCTACTATCATATAAAATAATCTATAAGTTTATGCTTCAAGTTTGATATGTAATCCAATCAGCAAACGGGAAGAGAGCTAGAATACCTCCATAGTGCTTTCAATTGTAAGATCCAACTGATGAATATCAAGGCGTTCAGCAAACTTATTCTTCAACTCCAGAAGTCCCGTTGCCCCATTAGGATTTCGACACGTTGCAACAACATAGCCTTTGTCATTCTTCTCCAACAGTTGTCTAACCTATACGAGGAAATAACAGGGTTATAATTCAAAAGTAACCATAAGTTGTCATTCATTCCTATTTTTCTATGTAATTTCATGCAGACTGCAACAATGGAAGACGACAAATAAGGGGATAAATTCTTCTTTCTGCTCGGAAATTCAAAGACCCAAACCTTAACAACTATGACTTTTATGATTTCTAACAAAGGAGATAGTTTAGAAATCAACTGTCAACTTCCCAAATAATCACAAGCAGTGTAGAAAAACATTTAAGTCAATAAAATAAAGATTGTGCACGACTGCACGCAATGTAAGTTTAAAATAGCAATATCAAGAAGAAAAGAATAATCTGCCCTGATCATAAGTCCTGAAGGCAAATACTAAAACAACAAAAATTCAGTCGTTCCAAGAAATATATATAGCTTATCGAGAATAATTTACAATTCGCACTGCAGTATGCAGTGATTTTGTCCCTCTTACACACCGATTTTATGCCAAGCAGATAAAAAACAGTGTACAATTGAAAAAAATGTCAAAGCCCATATCCAGATCAAAAATTAAAATCAGAATAACCATTTTTACGGAGTTGAGAAAAATGGGCTCACAAATTCAAGGCCAATGCCTCTGGAGGCACCTTGAATCATTGAAACACCGCCTTCCCATCTCTTAACTGCAGACATTGATGAACTTGAAAACATGCGGGCTCTTGAGAACGGCATGAGATATGCGTTTGACATCAAAACCCGCTGCGCAATAAAATTCAGCTTCATCGCACTTTGGTGAAATTCAATAATCTGCAATATTGATTGAGGACGTGCAGTTCAGAAAAAGCAACTCTAGCTTAAAATGGATCAAACCGGAGAAAATATCACGGGCGAGGATCCGAACAAGCAGCTGCCAGCCGTGCCCCGTGCGTATTAAACTGCTTTAATGCGCCTACGGTCCAAGCATGAGGAGGTAAAACTGCCACGTCCTCGATTTAAGTGAGGAAAATTAAGCCCTGGCTCTTCAACTGTTCATTAATGTAGCATTTATTTTTTTTTTTTTTTTTTTTTTTTTTACAATGGTTCGAAAATCGACCCGAAAAAGGTGAAAGGTTCCATTGGGAGTAAACCGAATACAAAAAATGCGTACAAAAATAATAAAATACTATAAAAATGAATTTTTTTTTTAAACTTTCATATTGGTAATTTGTTAATTAGATTCGTTATCTTACAATTATTATCGATAATTCAAAAATTAAAAATTAATATGTTAAAATAGTTTGCATTGTTAAATTAAAATAATTTAAATTTATAGAAAATGATATCTAACATTAATATATTAATAATCAAATGCAATTTAAGTTAAAATTGAAAATTAAATAAATGAAAAGATGACGTGTATATTACAATTTAGGTAGTTGGGATTTAAATCAAATTAATTAATTAGACATATATTTCAAAAATGATTTTGATAGTCATTTTGACATTTTTGTTGTATGGCATTGAAAGTTTATGAAATCATTGAGAGAAATGCATCTATAAAATGCATTATCCCCACATTAGAAGTTTATGAAACCATTTGAGAGATGTGTATTTATAAAAGGAGCTTATCATTGTCATCCAATATTTCTTTATGGCCATTTAAATTGTAATTTATGAGGTCCATTCATGAAATTGAAATTTTTTAAACTAAGAAAAAAGGGGAAAGCAACAAAATTGCGATCGGTTCAGCGATTTACAATTAAATCGACTGATTCAGTGGATTTTTAAACAGTTTAGTCATAAGCAGTTAATTAGGCATGATTGGCCCAATTTTGGGCACAATTCTCAATTTTACTAGTCCAGCCAACCGAGTCAAGCTGTTTTTGATAACATTGGTTTTTTTCCTTCGCCTTCAATCATGAGGTTTCAGATTCTAATCTATATAAATTTGTGAATCTTAATCCCTACGTGAAAGTCAATGTGGACGTTAAAATTGTACGTGGCTGAAAGTTGAGAATTAAGGGCTTAGACGTTTTTATCCTCCTATCTTTAAATAACAAGCGAACTAAATGTTCAAATTGATGATTTTCGTCACCTGAAAATTTGGACTTACAAATTAAAATAGTTAAAAATCTAAAATCCCATTTTTAAATGTTGAGGAGCCAAAATAATATTAATAAAAAGATTAAGAAATTTATCTCTAATAAGGATATATCTCAGAAACTCTTTATTTTTAAAAAGCATATTTTACAATTTAGAGTGCATCTATACATATAGAGAATAAAAAATTTAAATATTCCAAACAGCCTATTTATCTTCGGCACTTAATTTTATTACTCACAATATGTATTTACCGCTTTTTCTCTTCTTCTATTTTACCAACTTCCTTTCAGATTATTATATTACTTTTTTTCATTTTCTTTGTGTATATTATTTAGTTGGGTCAATATTGGAACATTGAAATTTGAAATTTTGAATGTATTTAACTAAAGAGAGCGGATTCAGCTTTTTAAATTTGAAAAATCAAACATACTCTATAGAGCATTTTTAAAGAGTTTCTTGAAAGTAATTTAAGTATGTAGTTGATGAAATGAGAAGGATGACAAAAACTTAATACAGTGGTGAATAATGTTCATGTTCAGCGTTTTTATATATAATAATTTACCATTTTTTAAAACTTTTTATGGGGAAAAAAAAAGAAAAGAAAAAGAAAAAATCAACTAGCAAGTCAACGAAAGTGTTGTGAACATATGCAATTAAATCAATTACAGTATTATCTTTATTATAATAAAAAATTGTGCCAATAAGAGAAGGTAAAACCTCCACCAGGGTCTCCAATTTTTGGATAAGTGTCACACAAGAGCTCCAACCCTTTTAAAACCGTGGCATCCATGTGTCTCAATCAGCAAAAAAACGTCTATTCAGACTTTAAAAGTCACATGACTTAAGTGATCGTGATAATCGATCCTCAAATGAGAATAGAGATTTTTCATGCCCTTTTCGTCTCGTGGTGGAACCATCTTGAGCCAACGAAAGCATTTTGGATGGCGCAACATGGAATTGGTAGGATCAAGGCCTTTCTCACTGGGTAAGCGCATCCGATTCTAAAGTCAATATCGAATTAGATGGACATGTATAATGAACATTGAGAATTTTACTTTATTCTAATTTCCAAATAAAATTTGTAATCATCATTTTGTTCGTTTTAGAATAAATGAATTATTTTGGACAATTTAGATCCTTTTAAATACACATGGCCATTTCACGTTCAATAAACATTTTGCGTTCATTGGGTATATGAGATCAAGATTTAATTGTTTATTTGAATGGTTATGCATAACGTGGATACATAAATGGTCAGTTGTTGCCCTCCGGGGTATAACACAATGGTGTAAAGGACAGGAGTGAGGTAGTCAGCCACAGTGTGAGGGTTCGATTCCTGAGATATGGAATTTGACTATTTGTAGGCACAAGTGTATAAGCAAATTCTTATTCCCGGCCTATTGAGACACATCCCGCGATATACCTCCCTCGCGATACTCCAGGGGCGGGGCGGTGGGGACCTTCAAAGTTGGGGTTCAACTTTATAAATGGTCAGTTGCTCATTTCGAATAATTGGCACAGAACGTTACCATTGTTCGCCTTCATTGCGCAAATCATTCATATTGTTTCAATTTTAACATTTAGGCACTCGGATCGACCTTTCACAAAAAGTCCTTACTGTTAATTTTCTCCATTAAAGTACTATAAAATAACTAATTTACCCTCTTTAGTTAAATAAACAAATAGTAAAGAAAGAAATAATATTAAAAAATGCATCTAAAATTTCAAGTTTAGAGGGGGGGAAAAAAAGAGTTTCACGTAAAACAATTTAATAGGAGAATAAATTAATAATTTGCAATGTTTTGACGAAAAAATAGATAGTAAGGACCTTCTATACAAAAATAATAATAATAATAATAATATTGGTCAATTTGAGTGCCTAAATCAAAAGTCAAAACAATAGGTACATTTTGCGTCAATTACCCATATTTTTTGTAAAGATTTCACGAAACATGACAAAAAACCAAATCCGCAAGAAAGGTTTAAAATGAAGGTGTAAATTCCAAGTTTAAACTATAGAGATACTATAAGAAAAATAATATTTAACAACTAATATTTACGACCAGATCAATATGGTCATTAAAAACTGTTTTTAACTACTAAATATTAAGTTTGGTTGGAGCAAAAGGATGATGAATTACCAAATTTTAAATTAGTTGGAAATATTTTATAATGACCAAAATAATAGTTGTTGATTCCATATTTTCTACGACTAAATTAAAATTGATCGTTGTGAATGGGGGCCAAATCAAAAAAAATTCTCCAAAATGTCTATTTATATTCAATGACAAAATAATTGATTGTTAAAAACATAAGAAAACATTCGACGATCGTAAAGTCTGATAGTTAATAAAGTAAAACAACAACTGTTAGGCAATTTGTTGTCAAACGACCTCCCGGACAATAATGTAACCTCGGTTTTATTTATTATCAATCGGCCTTGGCCATATGATTTAATTATATGTCGACACTATCATCGAGACAACCCAACCCAATTCTCTATGGACCGTTAGAAGCAACCTATTTTAATAGTGTTGCTCATGGCCTGTCCCATTTACTTGGAGAGCAATGGTATTCATTTGGAGCCCATTACCTTGTGTTGAGCCTTGTTTGGACCACTAAGTTAACCTAACATAACTTACCATTTTTCGGTCACTCATTTAGCTTATAACCTACGGCTCCTCCACGCCTCCACTATGAAGAACACTCCATCTCTTTCTGTGACATTGATTCTCGACCTCTTTCCTTCATATAACCTGTGTGGTTTCTCTTGGGCTATATTGTTCTTCATCTTGGCCAACTCTTTGTGAGTGTAGATAGCAACCGTATGTGGGAAGAAAGGAAGTGGAAGTTGGGTGTTGTCTCAATCGAGGTTGTGTCGATATATGGTGAAAACTAAGCCCGGTATCACCTTGGTTATTGCTGGAATTACTCCTCACAACTGGTATCAAAGCATGGGTCATCTTCTCTAGCAAGAAATCAACCAAGAAAGGGGACGGGTTCGCGATTTTTTGCAAAAGGGCCGAACCTGCATCTGCTATTTTCGGACAAACGGCTGACTTGTAGAAGAAACTGAGGGCAGATTCTGACTCAGCAGGTCGAGGCGCCTTCGGTGGTGAGGCGCGGCGACGACGGCGCGTGGCTGTCCGGTAACAGCGCGTGGAGGAGTTTCTGCGTGGTTTTTTCGTGCCATTTCAATTATTTTGATTCCCTGAACGTACTAAAGTGTTTGGTTTAATGTTTCAGGTTGTGCAGAAAATTCTGGATGATTTTGCCCTTGATTACAATTTGAATTTGTTGTTGAACGAACTGTTATATTTGCTGAAACTTTAGGGCGAATAGTGGTGGCTCTAAAGCAGTAAATTCGTATCTCTCCACGTTACAAACTCAGATAGGTCTGCTCTAGTAAATTGGCGAAACCTTTATATTTTTGCACTAGCAGATCATCGTGTAGGGTGATCATTAGGTTTAGGGTTGCCATTGCTTGGCAACCATTGCTTGTGCTAAAAATTAGGGTTATGTGCCCTTGATTACTTGATTGAGTATTTTAGTTAAATCAGTATTTGAGCCTCAGTGATATAACTATTGTGAAACTAATTATCTGTTAGACATAGTTTTCTGTTGCATTGTTAATTTTCGCTGTTTATCCATTCCATTAGAATTACCGTGACCTTACCCGTTTTCAAACATTCCCTTGATCTAAGACCCCAAGTCTTACGAAACTCTGGGCGTATATTATCTGAAACCTTAAACCTTGTGTGGTTTGATTGTGTTTTTTGTGCACTCTTTAACTATTATGTAAAGATGACAACTCACAACTTTGATTTGGGAATTTTTAATGGAAGTGGTGATTTTGCTATTTGGCAACAAAAAATGAAGAGCATTTTAGTTTAACAAAAAGTTT